TGTTTCTCCTGTCTATCAGGAAATAATGTTTCCCCTAATATTAAAGCAGAGGTATGTGAAATGTCTGAAAATCACTCAGGTACATTATTACATGTAAATACAGTAGGCCGATAGATCGTCACGCATAATATAGTCTTATAAGCAATACTATACCGTTTTAATCAAGAAATATCTCTATCCAGTGAGTTAAATAATTTATTATCTGTAAAAACAAAAAACATCAAAAAGGCATGTGATGTTTTAAAATATATGGCTTGTTTACCTCAAGAGCTTCGTAAAAAGACATGATAACAACAGCAAAACCGTGTACAAGTCAGCGCGCGACAAGGGAAACATAGGGAATATGAATTGCCTGGAACGGCAAAAACTTTTTTATTTTGAGTCGTGCCATCCAAATCCCGCTGGATCTGTTCATCCGACCATATGGCGATTAAAGCCTGTGTTTCCTCGTTTGTCCGTCCTTCCATTTTACTTTTTTAATATTTTTGTTTCTACTGCTTTTTATTTCGTTTCTCGCTGTTCGCTGTGTGTATTTTGTGTTTCAGCGGCAGGCTATTTGCATAACCAATCGACAGCAAAAACGTTTGTAAGTCCCACCCCAAAGTACCGACGTACCAAAGGAGTACCAAAGCTGGTTTGGCACTTTCGGTACTCGAACTTTCGGTACTGGTACTCGACCAGAAGTCAATGGAAAGTACCGTACTTGAAAAGCGCCCTTACTGTCAGAGGTGGCAATTTCAGATCCAGAAAGTAAAAATCCAGACCATGATTTACTTTCAACCAATCAGTTGAGTACTCTGTGACTGAGACTCTTTATGCTCAACTGGTTGGCTGAAAGTAAATCATGGTCTGGATTTTTATTTTCTGGACCTGAAATTGCCACCTCTGATTACTGTGGAGGGAGCTGAGTTCCCCCTCCACCTTCCTTTCGCCCCATGATCTCAGAGATCTACTACATTGTTTCCCTCCATTGACCCCCCCTTCCCAAAAGCATTGTCACATTTGTGTTCCAGCTCCAGAATCGCAGCCTGGACAAAGCGTTCTACGCACCTCAGCCAATGCGTAATTCAATAAGGAACTAATTACTCTAACGGCCATTGCAACTAAATCTTCTTCCTGCCTGGGCAATGACATCCAAATCCTACGCTTTCCAGCAGAAGCCCACCCCCTCCCCCCCAGCCCGGGGACCGGAGGTAATCCTGAAAGGCATGGGGTTGGGCAAGACCTTGTCGTTTGACTGGCAGCCTCTCACCGCTGCCTAATGATCACCCATACATAATCGCTCCTGGGAAGTGCCCCCGTTTTACAGCGGAACCTACACAGCAGGAATTATCGCGTTGCTAAGCCCACCGGCTAGACTGTCCTATAGAATGCTGGGTGAACCTCAAGACAAATTAATTCTAGTGAAAGATTGGGGGGGCATTGGACACAGCTGTGCCCCCTCCATCTGCGCCTTGCGTGGGGCCTGTTGCCTCCCAGCCGCTCGCTTTGTGTGCCAATGACGATAAATTAGGATTTCAGATTCCCAAGGAAGCAGGAAGAGAAGAGCTGTAATTAGGGCTCTGTGTGGTATTCATTTTGTTTTGTTTTGGTTTTTTTTTTGTTTGTTTAAATACAGTCATTGAGGATGGAGATGAACTGCAGAATCGGCAGCCATTCCACTGGGGGGGTAATTGATACCCCAGTTCTCGTCTTCCTCTCAGAGGGGTCAGTTCCTCTCCTGTTGGGGGGGGGGGGCAGCGACAAGCTGTTCCTGGAACGAGATGATGTTGAAATCCGTTCAGATGGGAATGTGGTGCCGCGCGACGGGGGGGGTAGGGGGGAGACGGATGACTCCAGAGAGCGTCGGAGCGCCTGCGAGCTGCTGCGGATTGTCAACAGAAAGGTGCCAAAACAAGAAGTTTCTAGAAAGAACCATGATACAGGTCAGACAAAAATAAAGCAACTGGTTCCTTCAGGAGAGTCTCTGCACCTAAAGTGAAGGGAAAGGAAACAACTACAGGCTGCCTAACGTGACTGTGCCACGAGATTTTACTGCTTCTAGGACGGCTGTTGACTTCAGCTTGTGCATAACAAGACTACATATCCTACCTACTCTTAATGCCAAGTTGCCTCTCTTACCCCAAAGGCATTTGTTTTGTTCCTTCTGAATGTCTATGATGTCTGTAGAACGTGGTGAAACGCTGCAATGATTCTGAGGCCTTTGCCTCCCTCAAATCAGAGAGGTGTGCACTCAGCTTGTAACGCATGCGCCACAATGTTCCGGGGTAACCCACGGCATTCGTTTTCCTGTAGTAAATGCGACGTCAGTTTTGTTTATGGTCCAATCAGTTTTAACACGCCAAATCCCTGACACCTGCTTTGAGTCATTTGGCTTGCCAGTGGCATGGCCTAAACGGGGCTTTCTACTGAATTTCCTACTACATTGTGCCTGACCCCTGTTAACAAATAAAAAAATCAAGGCTAGTGTCCAAGCCTGAGGCCTCCTGGGGCATGAGAGTCTGGACTCCCCGCCGACTCTCTGACTCCCTGTCTCGCATTCGACGGCACCTCTGTGAGGCTGGTGTGGACAGGGACATGGAGCTGTTGCGTGGGTACCAGTGAAAGCATCTACCTGGAGTTCAACTCCCTTGTAGAAAAATGCCATTAACATCCTCTCTTTTTTTACTGTAAGTAAATGTAGATTATGCACAGAGGTTTTTAGTTGAGACAGAACTTCATTCATCCCTCCCGGGGGAAATTTTTTTAAATGTGTTGCTGGCGATGAGAAAGAGAATGAAACAAAATGGAATAAAATTGAATCACAAACACAAAGGAAGCTTAAAAATAACAGCAGAGCTAGAAAAGGAAGAAAGAGGGCACAGGAACCCGGAATAGCTGAAAGAGGAGGGAGCCCAAGATTAGGCGACCAGCTACGGTTTCAACCCACCATGGCTGAGTCTGTCACAGCAAATGAGGAAAACACTCAGACCCATACAGAAGAACGTAACAGGCAAACACAGCTATATATTACCACGCGGCCAGTTTGGGAGGGAAATGTTTATTGCAATGTGTTTGAGTTCTAAGCATATCGCCCGGACACTCCAGAGGGGTTAATTGGTTATTTTCAGCGGCAGCAGCAGCGGCGGTCTGTTTAAATTAGCGTTATCAGTAATTTAAATGCAGTGGCGGCCCTGTGGAGGTGACCAGGCAAGTTCTGCTCGAGAGTGCGGCTTTATTAAGCGCGTTATCTATGCCCAGAGTTGCTGCTGGAAATGCGACAGCAAACATCCGGGTTCGCCGCCGTGTCGGGGCCGTCGCACTCTGTGGCCTGATAATGTCACAGAGTCAGCTCACACGCAGGCGGTAATCTGTCACGGCAGCGGAGAAGATGGGAAGTTCAAATGGTGAATTAGAAGCCATATCAGACTCTGTATCTCTCTGCAGTTACAGCACAAATGATACAGCTCCCTATGGTCTGAACATCGCCTTTATAATGATCACTTACATTTCTGCTTAGGCAGTCTGAAGCAAGACAATCTGCATAGACAATCTGAAGCACGCTTTACAGTTTAGTTCGTTTGCCTCTGAAGTTTTACTGTTTTTCAGAAAAATGCAGTTTGTCTGACATAATTCTCTAAGGTGCTTCGTCACTATTGAAGAGAAAACTTTGGTAACACTTTCTATGAATGTCATGTCTACTGTATAAGAATCTATGAACACGTTAAAATGCCTTTATAAAACATTACAAACATGGCTATAATTATTTATAAAAAGGCATGACACATTAAAGTCATGTTTATTATGCATTTTGAATGCTTAATGAAGCTCTCATCTATAATGCATTACACATACCTTCATAATAGAGTGCAAAGCATCATTAATTCTTATAAAAACCTTTATAAGGCATGATGAAGATGCATGGTGTTTCACTGGAGCTTATCAAGTATTATAATCAACACTATCATGCCTTATGTCTGTCAGTAGAAGATGCTGTAATACTTAAATATTAATAAATATTAATTCTTTTACCAGCCGTTATAATGCATTATGAAGGTATCTACAATGCATTGCAGATGACAGCTTCAAGTAAAGTGCTACCAAAGTTCCAAAACTCACACAGTCCATAGGATAAATTTTCAAATGACTTTCTGTGAGTACTTGGTTGGATTACATGACTGCAATGGGTTGGTGCCCCATCCTGGGTCATTCCATGCCTTGTGCCTGCAGTTTCAATGTCTGAGTGAGTTTTGGAAATTTGGTCTTCAATTAATCTTTGTAATATACAAAAGAAGTCATTTTGCCTTTTCCTCTACCTATGGAGAAGGCATTTCTTCACCCTCCCTTCATTAAGCACTTGGGTTGACGCATGCCTGGTTTCCATGACAACAGAGCTGCTCACCTCTGCCCCCTGGTGTCTCATTTTGGTAGTTTATATTTCCATGGCTGTGCTAGCGACTCATATAATGGGAGAGAAAAGGAGGAGAAGGTTTGTGCATGTGTGTGTTTATGTTTGAACCCTCAGGCTGCTGTTCCTGCACTTTTTCTATAACTTTATATTACTTAGTCAAAGCCTGAAGTGGGAGCACATTAAAAGAATGATACAGGGCC